ATTACTCAAAGTGATTTTTGTAAAATTGGAGTTGTATTACTTCTCTGCTCATGATCGATTGATTTCCTTTCTCACTCAGGACAGAATTTTTAGATATTTGCTTTGATTACCAAAGCTCATGTCATCAGCCTTCTCACTATCCTCTAGTCACACTATCTCCTTCCAGCTCTTCAACTATACTTAGCACATTTCTGTGCCAGGGAATTTTCCCACCTGTGCACTCAGGTGGGACACTTTTCCAGCATAAGAAACATGAGGTTCTTCATTCTGCTCCCATACTCTGTCAGTCCATCATTCTGATTTCATTCTTCCAAAGTAGTCTTTTCTGAATAGAGTTTCTAAAGAACCATAACAGCTACAACCCTATTTCCTCCTTAGTCATACCAGTCCCTGATCTGTACTTGGAGTCAGTTTCCACCCACTAGAAAACAAGATTTCTAAAGGTATGGATTCCATTTACTGTGTTCTCTGTTATGTTCCAGGGATCTAGAACAAAACACAGCACATAGTAACTTTTGATAAATAACTTTTGATGATAAATATTCATCAAATAAAATAACCCAATACTTCAGTGTGGGCCTATTGGATAAATTAGGAAGTGAAAACTGCTGAAATAACCATGTAATCTCATAACTGGAGTGCCAGAAAGCAAGGATAAGAGAGGATGTGGCTGAATATTTGTAGGGTTGGAAAAAACTTAAATAAAATACTACTCATGTTTCTAAGTGGGTGGTTACTAATACATTTATACTGTGACATAAAGATTTTGTGGGTGAATAAAGGAATTATTTGACCTAAATTTGATCCACCTATTTTTTAAAATATTGATCAAAAAGTGTTTGAGGTTTAATATGGAAGCCTGAGAGATTTCTGTGTGATAATTAATGTCGGGAAGGCAGACTCTGAGTGATCTGATATCTACGTTCTGAGAACAGTGTGAGAACCAGAGCCAATGGAACACAAACTTCATAGTCCAAGATACAATTAATATTTCTAATAATTGTAGCTTGTTGTCACTAATGTGACATATGAACTCAGCAGAACAAAGCGCTGCTTTCTCCATAGTTAGCTCTTCTATTTTCTGTTAGATTAGAGTATGATGTACAGCTTGACAACTCAGTGTGTGTATGTGTGTGTGTGTGTGTGTGTGTGTACATGAGAGGTGGTAGATGGAGGGAGAGTCCATTAGAGGGAGATGTATACATAATACATGAAGTATGAGTACATTTTGATTTAAATAATTGCTAACATGAATTTTGCACAGCACATCACATTTTTTGCCTTGGTTTTACTTACCTCCTTGGTTGATTGATTGGTTGAATGATTATGGAAAAGGGATTTCCAAAATTAGCAATAACAAAACTAGCAAATCAAAGTTTGATTAAAAAAACTATCAAACAGTCACCATATCACATCAATAAAGAACACTGATTTGTTCATCCAAGCAGTCAGGTGTCACTGGCCAAAGGATATCTTAGCATTACCCTTCCATTTATTTCAGCTGCTAACAACTCTTGGTGCTTACTATTTTCAACTGCCAGGAAAGAGGTAGAAATATATTGTCATGGTTAAATGATCACTAGTAGGCATCTGTGCTTCAATATCTTGTTTTTCAAATGATCGTTGTACCTAAAATCAAAACAGTCTGTAGATGAGATAAGACTTACAACTCAGAAAACATTTTGTACCATATGCCAGCAAACTTTAGGAGTGAAGTACACTCCTGGGATAGATTCTACCTGGCTTATGGATTTTCTAACTTTGTGACACTTTTACCTTTCATATTAGACTTGATACCCATATATGACTATATCCTTTACTTCAAGTAGACATCTTAATGACAAATCCAGACCTGTCAATATCCATTTTTTCCTCCATTCTATTTCTGATTTACAAACCTCAGATTAGTCTTACCTTGAGATCTGCTCATTAGAATTTGTTTTGGAAGATTTCCTAGAGTTAATCCCACCCAGGATGACTTCTCAATTCATGACGATCCAAGGATCCAATATCTTGTCTTTATGGCTTGAACACTTAGCAACTTTCACATCTCCATCAACAAACTTATGAAGTCTTGAATGAAAACAAAAACTTGAATGTGGTTGATGTGCTCTCAGGAATGAATATAGAAATCCTAAACTGGCCAGGGCCACCATGGGAAGCAGGCTAGGGAGGAGTGAAGAGGACGAGGTGAATCATTTAGGGCTGTAATACATAATTACATAATCTTCTCTAATCTATCAACAATTTCTCTTTTCCTCACAAGGGAATTATAATTCCTTTAAAATTTTGCATATAAAAACTATCACATCTTTTGTGTCCTTAATACTGATCCATTTCTCTGTTAAAATGGGGAGGGATGTCCATTCATTCATGCATTTACTTATTTAGTGAATACTAATTAAATGTCAGCCATGTGCCAGCCAAATGGAGATGTTGAGCAAATCTTTGCCTCCATGAAGCTTGCATGTTGGGGAGAAAATATAGGTAACAAATGATGATCTGAATAATATACGTACTGAGTGGGTGGTAGTAAAAGCTATGAAGAAAAATAAACTAGAAATGTGGGAAAATAAGGAATTTCCTAAGTTGAGGAGGAGTATTCATTCTTGCCATTCTCTGAATTTTGGGAACTCATAGCTTTATAAATGATAACATGCAAATTTATATGTCATATCCTTTTGTTTTGTTCTGATCTTCCATGCTGGCGTATTAGTATTCTTTTTTAAACACCTGAATGAATGAAAGCAGATACGGCTCTACTTTTGTCTGCCTAACAAAGTATGTCACTGTCATATGAAAAGTTGATTACTGATAAAAAGAACAAATAAATAAATGATATAAAAAGCAAAGAAGAGCTTACTTGTTGAAGTATTTCCTCCAACTGACAGGAGCAGGACTATTTTTGGAAGTACTTGATGCGCTGGGTAATGAAGAGAGACCCCTTTGTGGGGTGTTTGTAGAACTTGTTATCTATGAAGACAAGAGTGTGATGTCTTAGTCTCAATATCATGACTTGGCTATGAAGTGGGGTTTCTAGATGACTATAATTATTCTACATTACACAGGAAAAGAGTAGGCTACCAAAGGAAGGAAAGACTTCCCCAAGTTCATTCAGCGAGTACCTGATACAACATGGTCACTGGGCTCCAAGGTCAACTACAGATTAAGTCATGGTATCTTTCACAAAACAATAAATAAGACAGGCAAACAGACCCAAAGTTATCATTCTAGAAGAAGAATAAGTCTCAGAGATTTATTGTATAGCATAGTACCAATAATTAATAACACTACAATAGGCTTAAAATATTTCATGAGGCTAGATTGTAAAGTAAGAGTCCTTCTCTCTCTCTTTCTCTCTCTCTCTCTCTCTCTCTCTCTCTCTCTCACACACACACACACACACAAGCACAATAATAAAAAATAAAGGAGGAAGAATTTTAAGGGGAGGGATATGCATATAGCATTGATTGTGGTGGTGATTTCTAACATTTATCAATAATCTCTTTATGTTCTATACAGTAAATCTAGACAATGCTTTTGTATGTCAGTTTTACCTGTATAAGGTTATTTAAAATTAAGATGATGATTCAGAAGTTAGAAATTATAGATATAAGTCTTCATAAGATGATTACCCAGAAGCAAAACACTAACCACTGGTCCCCATTATTAGACTTAACAAGCCCCACCACGTCATTTTCTTAATCTTTTAAAAGGGCACTCACATTCCTACTGGGCCATCCAATGGCATCACTGTATATAGAATCAGAGGAAATATGGAGAGGTCTTGGAGTTGTTCAGGTGACAAAGGCAGACATTTCTGCAATCTACAAAATCTCTACTCATTTGGAAACAGACTCTATTATTTGTGCTCCAATAGTGTGTAGTAAAGGCAATTCCTTGTATTAGGCTGCTTTAATGTTTGTATGTTTACAACTCTAAAGTGTAGCCCTTATCTTAAAAGTACAATTTTTAAAAATGGGGGAACCTCTGTCCCCAGATCACAGATATGATTTACTTAGCATACAAAGGCAACATTCAAATTTTCCTTCAAAACATGGCTACACTGAGCTTATCCTGATTTTCTAGAATGATTAAAATGTGGTCTTATACCCACCAATCTGGAACATAAAAATGCATATCTGGAGTTGTACAGTTGAAATCAGTGAAGTCCTTCTCCACCTGGCTCAGGCAAGCAACATTGGCCTCCAGATTCTTCTGTGATTGTGAAGAGTTGTCTGCCAGGGCTGCTGGCAATTGTCAGACCCACACTTCCCCAGGGTTTCCTGTGACCACACCAACTTCCTATGCTGCTCTGCCTCCCTCAGTACAACTATCACAATTGCCCACCCCATTGCTCACAGGTCTTTGAGACCTGTGTATGCTAATTATTTACACACACACACACACACATACACACACACACATACACACACAATACCACTTTGCTTTTTTTCTAGTCCTTTAATGAGGCCTCCATCCTGTCAAACAATAGTGACACTATAGTAAAACTGGAAGGACAACACAATTGTTAAGAAGAGCAAAGGAATTCAAACTTTATATGCATACACTCAGAGCATTGTTTATGTATTTCAACTATTTTTTTTTTTACTTCTTCAAATAACTACCTCTCTATAGCCATGAGGCAACTGGAAGTCAGGAAACAAAAAGGAAAGAAAGAAAAATTCTACTATAATACCCTCATATTCCCTTAACACCCTATCCATTACCACATCAAAAAAGTATTTTAAAAAGTGTACTGTGATTACATAATGGCCCCTCATTTTTTGTTTCAAATTTTATATCATTATAATAATTAACACATATTGATTGTATACCTGGATGGAAGTTAATCTAACATTTTCATAAATATGTGTATTATGTATTAATCATTTCCACTCTTTCTTATAACCTCCCTCTCTCTCCTTCTCTTTCTCCTGCCCACCGGTACCATTACCTGATAATTCCCCTATACTTTCAGATCATTTTTATTTTAGTTTCCCCATCTGAAAGAAACATGTGATACTTGCCTCTCTGAGTCTTATTATTTTTCGTAACTTGGTGATCTTGGATTTTTTTCATTTTCCTGTAAATAATAAGATTTCATTAATCTTAATAAAGAAATACATCATTATCTCATTATCTATAAATCATTCAATGAGCACCCAGGCTGATTCCATATCATTTTTTTTTTTGATACTGGGTTTTAAACTCAGAGCCTCATGCTTGCTAGGCAGGTGCTCTACTACTTGAGCCACTCTGCCAGTCCTTTTTTGTGTGGGGTATTTTTGAGGTAGTGTCTCAAGAACTATTTGCCCCAGCAGCCCTCAAACTGCCATCTTCCTGATCTCTGCCTCCCAAAGAGCTGGGTGTGAACCACTTGCACCCAGCCTGATTTCATATCGTATCCATTGTGAATACTGCTGCAATAAACCTGTCTGTGGAAGTCTATGTTACACTGATTTGATTACTTCAGGTATATGCTTAGAAGTACTATAGCTAGATCATCTGGTAGCTCAGTTTTTATAAAGGGCCTACATACTGTTTTCCACGATGGTTTTACTAATTTATCCTGTCAATAGAATTCCTTTATTTATGTGCTTTTACCAACATTGGCTGTTTTTTGATACTTTGCATAGTGACCATTCTGATGGGGGTAACATGAATCTGAATGTAGATTTTACTAATTATCCCTGATTGCTAAAGATATTGAACATGTTTTCATATAATATTGGCCATTTTACTTCGTCAGCGCTTTGTTTCATTGATGGAATTGCTCGTTTGGTCTCCATTTCATGCCGTCAACTCTGGGCTTTATAAATCCTTTCCTTCTACAGATTTGGGGTTTCATTTGTTATTCGTTTTCAAAGAACATGAGATACACCTTTGGGTTATTTATTTGAGGTCTCTCTGGGTATTTTTTTTTTGTGCTTGTTTTTTTATTTTTGTGCTTGTTTCTTTATTTTGTTTTGTTTACATAGGCATCATTGTTATGTATTGCTCTCTTAATACTGTCTTCCTGTCCTCCACCAGTACTGGTATATTGTGTTTCCTTTTTGATTTGATTCTAGAATTTTTAAAAATTTTCCTCATGATTTGTTCAATGACTCACTGGTTAATGTGAGCAAATGTGTTGCTCTATCCCTGCGAATTTGCATAATGTTTTCTTGCTATTGATATCTAGTTTCATTCCTACGTTACCTGATAAGATACATGAAATCATTTTGCTGCTTTTGAATTTGCTAGGACTTACTTTATGGCCTAACATGTGTTCATGCCATCTACAATTATTGGGCTGGGGAATTTACCTACTTTGAAATAAAAGTAAAATAATGAAAAATATACAACAGAGGCTATAATTAAAATGATTATTTAACAAATTTTGAATATTTTTTGTTCTGGATTGAAATTATATAAAATTTCTCAGCTGACCAGGGAAATTTTTTGATATATCCTCAGCTAGAATTTCCTAATGATTAAATTTAATTTATTTGTGGTCTAAGATTGTTGCTCCTAGTTAATAAACATTTATCAAATTCCTGTGGAAACACCTTTGTAGCAATTAGATTTTCCATCTCAGAACTCACCAATCCTGCAGACCTGCACAATGATGACCTTGGGTTTGTCTCTTAGACCACAGCAGTGGCGATTGTTGAATGTTTGGTAGATGGTGTCATAAGGTAGCACACCTGGGGTTTCTTCACTATGCATAGCTCCATAAATTCCAACCAGGGTACTATGAGACATAAGTACCAAGAATGTGCTTTCTGAAGACATGTGTTCTGGATGGGCAGCAAATGCCCATAGCACTGACTCCATTTCCTAGAAAAGGCCAATGTCTTCTTCAACAGAACAAGTATTAAATTAATCTGCCCTGTTAAATTCATTATGAACAATACAGGGAACATATATAAGTTTCTGATCAGGGTGATCACTCATTAATGATAGTTGTTTTGTTTATCTTTCAAAATGGGTCAATGGATTCCCACTTTGTTCCTGCTGACATACTATAAACTGTCTTCTTAATATATTACATATTTATTTATATCATTCATATTACTTTTCCTTTCCTTTTTGATCTTGTTTTTTCTCACCTATGAGAGCCCTCATAGTTGTGAAATTATCCTAACACTTTTCCTCTAAATCCCTTGTCATGTGCTTTTTTATAAAATCAAACATCTCACCTGATTATTCTCCATTTCTTGCTCCACTCCCTTGTCCTCCAAACTCTGTTCTTGTGCTCTTCTCTCAGTACTTTCTCATGCCTATTTTAGTCTCAATTTAGTCCTTGCACTTGTATCTTTCTGTATTTGAAGACACTTCCCTGTGATCTTTCCTGAAGTGCCTTGTTCCTAGTAGTCACATCTCAACCCTTATGTTATTTCCTCACAGAAGGTTTTCTATACCACCCCATCAAACACTGCTCTACATTCTGTATTTCTCTCTTATATTTCCATTTTCCTTTTTAGCTCACATTCTTTTGATTATTTCTTTTTAAAGACTTGTTTGTTTATTGTCATATATTTAATTTCACATACTAAGTGGGTTCATCATGACATTTCCACATGTGCATATAATGTACTTTGATCATATTCAAGTCCTCTGTTATGTGTTTTAATCCTCCACCTCCTTCACCTTCCAACACCATAGTAGTCCTCCTATTACTTTCATGTGCTTGGTTATTTTGTTTTATTATTATCATATTATTGTAGTGCTGGGGGTACATTGTGACATTTATAAAAGTTCTATCAGTATATTGTAGTTGAATTCACCTCTCCCATCATTCTCCTTTATTTACCCTCCCCCTATTCCTAGAATACTTATATCAGGTCTCCTTTTTCCACTTACATACATGAGTACACAATAGTCTACTATCTTCACCCATCTATACCCTTTCTTTATTTCTTCCCCCCTCTTAATGCCACAAACCTCCAGAAAAGATGTTTTACATTCTGGTTCTACTATTTTGAAAAAAGACATTTTTGTTTGTTTAAGATATCTATAGAGGGATTTTCATTGTGACATGACTCCCTTTTCATTTATGTAGACACATGCACATCTCAAACCTCTGAAACTATGTTTTCTTATATTTTGATTGTCTCTCTCCATTCTAAACTAGATCAGTGCAACAGGACATCTCCTATCTCAATTATAGACCTATTCACAGTGCCAGAGAGAGACCCTGGCACCAAGTCAGAACTAGTGTCTGTTTTTGAATGTTCTTCTACTTAATTCAGTACTCATGAAATTCCTAGGGGGTAAATACAATCTGTCCACTTTTGTACTGATACTTGTGTGGGTACTCATGCTAGTCATTTTTTTTAACTTATATGAGAATATTTCAGTCTCAAAAGAAACATAGCTTTCATTCCTCTAATTTCATCCCTTTGATATCACACACCAATTAGCCTAAGCTCATTAAGGATTTGGTTAACATTCTAAAACTTGTTTGCTGCTAGAAGGTTATGTTTTGGTCATACATGAGATTGGAGTGGGTGAGGGTCTCTTACATTGTTGTAAGGTTCTCTGCCACAACCACAGTGTAACCCCGATCCTCAAGCAGCCTCTTCATCCTTATGATGTCAAGTTCAGTCCTGTACCTTAGAGAAAGATGATTAAAGTTTGTATTGCATACTATGAGAGCCAGGCAAGTGGGACCACTTCTTTCCTTTATTGGGTAGACCTATAGGAATGGACAAGCCATGAATTTATTTACTTGAGTCTTTTAAATCTATCATATACACATAATAGTTATTCTAATAGCATCCCATGAGCTTCCCTCTTCTGCAACCTCCACTAGAAGACACTGTCTTTCTCTGTTTTAAGAACCCAGAACCAGACCAAGACATATTTTGGATGGTTTTTCAAGAATCTTGAGAAAGCTATGTAATTTCTTCCTTCTCTTTCTCATTCTTCTGCAATTAATCAAACATTTTAGATTTCATATAAATCAAGAGATTTGTTACTGACCTCAGTAAAGATGAATAAAACAAGGTCCTGTGTTGCATAGCATTATTCTGGTACTTTTTAATTTTTTGTTGTTGTTATTTGTTTTTTTGAGTTCGGGATCCAGTGCTTGCTAGGAAAGCTCTGTTATTTAAGTCATGTGTCAGCCCTTTTTGCTTTAGGTTACATTTTTATATTGGGTCTCTTTTATCCCTGAGCTGGCCTGGGGCTTTAATTGTCCTTCCTATACCTCCCAAAAGCTGGAATTACAGACATGAGCCATCATGCTCAGTATGTTTGTTTAGATAGGGTTTCCTTATGTTTTCCCCAGGCTGACCTCAAAGTGTTATCCTCAAATCACTTCTTCCTGAGTAGCTGGGTTTACAGGAGCAGGAACACTGCACCAGCACTTATTTCTGTACAGTTTTTATCACATCAATTGATAATACTTTGACAGTTTAATATTTTTGAAAATATCATTCATGTCTTGTCTTTTCAACTCAGAACAAATAAGCACTAGTCAGCTACATTTTCTTATAAATATCCTGATTATATATGACAAAAGCTAAAATCCTTATAAATCCCTCATAGATATGAGAATGAGTAAATGTGCAATGTGCACCATATCACAGCAGTAAAGGGAATGGGGATTTGTTTCAAGCCATGGAATCGGTTCCTTCAATGCATCCACAAGAAAGATTCCCCTATCCCTGCCTCACAATGTTAAAGCTGAACAAGTTGATACTTTAGTGAGATCCAGTGAATCTCTCTCTGTTCCATGCACCCTGCTCAGTACCTCTCCAGTACTGAGGCTCAGTAATTCCTCAATGGGCCAAAGCTTGAGGGCATCAGGAGATTCTTCTGACTCTGCTGGTCTCATCTTGCATTCCAGATGAACTGTAAGATGTATTACAGAAGGTAAATTTTAATTTCTACCTGTGTCCCAGAGAAGACAGAGAGGGGGAAATCCTGAAAAGAAGGTGTTTTATTGGAGACTATAGTGGTTCTAATCTCAACATAAGGAGATGCATTGTGACTGGGAAAGAAGAAGAAATTCTTGAAAGAGAAAATGGAACCACTCAAAAGGAAATAACGGATATTGAAAGTTCTGAAGAAAATATCTCCAGGATTGGTGGTCAAATTCATTCTTTACATATTCAACAAAAATATTTTGATGTTTCCAAAACTTTCAGCCTACTTACTTATCTAGGTAGAATTCTGTAGTCTCTGAGCAAGAATATATTGAATATGTATTTATAAAGTGTTATGCATTAGAACATTATGGGACTTGTTTTACAGTTTAAATTTTTTTGAATATACACATTTACAAAGTAAAACTAAATAGGTGAAATTAGTTATAATAATATGTTTATATAATGTAATATTTCCAGAAGTTATTCCTAGCATATGCTACTAGTCATGGTTAAAGTGCCACATGTGATTAATAGCATATATGCCATGATAAGAACATCCCATTTTGGAGTGAGAATCCCTTCTTAACCCCTGTAATACATACAGAAGCATGCACCAAATACCTAGAATCTTGAATCTTCAGTCATATAGATATAATTTTTTGGCAACCTTAGCCTGAATTGAATTCTTAACCTGTGTAGGAGAAATGAGCTTTGTTTATCCTTCATGAAATAGCAGGACAGCAATTAAAAAAGAAAGGCTCTTTAGTAACAATGGTACCATATCCAAGCTCGAGAGATCTGGGATTTTTTTTTTGTGTGTGAGAGATTCTGACATGCTTTAGAAATCTTGTCTTGAGAGAGAAAATAACTAACATTAAGATTTTTAACCCATTTTAGACTATGAAAGCAATTCACATCTTTTGGCAAAGTTTATTAGAGCAATGGTGGTCTATCCACTAGAGACATGAAAGAGATAATCAGAGAGTCTCTGTGTTATAGCTCTCATTGGATCCTTTTACTTCTCTCAATATAGTTATAAGATAAAACTCAGCTTTCATGAAAGTATTTTTGAATACCTATACATACTTTAAACGTTCATTTTAAGGTAGGATGCTCTCTGTAATAGATGAGCAGAGGTTTCAATTCTTGCCTTAAATTTATAAAGATTGACAACAGTAAATAAAGCAAGTTTCTTCAAAAACAAATGAAAACCTTCTAAGTCTTTCTATTTCCAATAAAATCCAAATTCTTTTCCAATAGCGAAAGTACTAGTACATTCCAGTTTTGAGGGTTTAGTGTCTATATTTGTGGCACTCCATGTGACTTCCTATTTTGTAGCCAGATTGGCTTCCTTGTGAACCTCTTACATGACAAGACCAGTCTTGACTCAGAGCTTACAGCCTGATTTTTCCTTTGTGTCTTACAGTTTGGAAAAGTTCCCTCCTCAGGATCTAATTATGCACTAGCATGTCACCCAAGGGACCGGTCCTACATGTTATTTGGCCATTTGACATCCCTTGACCCTCTTCACCACCCCACCGTCTTTTTCTGTTCTCATCCTGTTTTCTTTTATGTATTATCTTAAATTATACTACTCAGTCTTAAAATTTATTGTATATCTAACCTCACTGAATTGTTAACTCAGTGACTGAGGGCTTTTGATCTTTCTTAAAATTAGTATTGGGAATAGGAATATACTCAATTTGTGTATGTTGAATATAGGCAAACGTGTATAAAGATCACAAAGTTTTTATTCCTGAGAAAGTGTTTCCAAAACTTCTGAAAATACGGCACTCAGAAAACAACCTAATCACTATCCCCTTTATAGGCACTACAACACTTTCATGCACAGCAGTAATTCATCCATTGCTTTGGTGACCAGGTAGAGTGTGTGACTCACTCTGAGGTTTGTTTTTTTTTAAAAATGGTTCACCACATTCTCATCCTGTTTTTTGCAGTTGGTAGTTTGTTAAATATTTATTGTGTACGAATTTAGACAAGGATGGTATGAGTCTCACTTAATAGTGTGGCTACCAGAGCAGTGGTTATTGGCAGTGATTATCACAGTGTGTATAGCTTTCTTGGCTGTGATTCAGGTTCTCTTTCCACTGCTCCATGAAGCTTTTTCAAATCTGCCTTAGCTTGAATTGTTATGATTTGTCCTGAGATAGGTATTACCTGTCAACCTTGATGCCTGGGCCACTCCATCTTCACTCTGTTTTCTGGATTCTGAGGAGAATTGAAGGACAGAGAAGTAAGTGCTAACTCTACTTATGAGAGACTTTGTTCGAAGCAGAACTGAGAGAAAACCTGCTCTCTGAAACTCAATGTAGTGGTTTTTTTCATGATAACCCTGTATAACTACCTCACCAAAAAAGCAATTTCTGAGGGCTACTGTGGAAACCTGGTTGCTGGAGGTTACCTATTGAAGAGACAGCCAAGGTCTGCAATGATACAGCTTCTGCTTCATCTCTACTTTCTTGTTCAGATTCTGAGGTGAGATGAACAAAAAGTTAAAGATTAGTGCTGTACTCTGAAAGTCATTTCTAATAATGACAATTGAATAGGAGCACAGGCATCCCAGGTCTTTAGCAGGATACTATCTCATGACAATAGAGAATATAATGGTTTCTATTTGTTATCTGGGGCATGGGGACAGTTTCCTGTTGAAGAGGAATATGATGCTGAATGTTGTTCACATTCATTATGGTTACTTTCAGGATGAAATTCTGAAATAATATGAAAAACAAATTTGTAAGCAGAAATAAATTTTTAGACTCTAGACAATAGAGAAAGAATGAGTTACTAGCACATTGGCTCAAACTACTCACTTAAACTCAGTTCTTTCTTAGGATTTTTGATATCAGCTACTAATATTTTGCCTGTCATTTCAGTTTTCTCAACAATATTGTCAAGTGTGTTTTTCATGAATGTGCTCAAATTATCTGCTACTCTGTATAACACGTCTCTGTTGAGCACATTCTTCCTTATAAAGCCATCAAAAACACTCTCAAGAATATTCCTAGCCATCAGTCCCATCATGTAGACTGGATCTTTAAAATTTTTCCCTTATCTGTAAGAATAACAAGGTCTTAGACAGACAGACTTTATACATGCAATTCTAGATCACTGATTCTCAAATTTTTATGTGTATAAGAATCAACTGAAACTTGATAATCAGAGCTTCCTACACTGCACTTTCACAACTTCTGATTTGATAGGTTAGGATAGAGCATATAAATCTTCCCTTTTTTATAGATAGGGAAACTGGGGTACAGCAAAGGAAAACAACATCAATCCACAATTGGAGACTAGGTTCAGTCTTTGTCTATCACTCATGGTCCTTTCATCTAGTCAATTTTCTTATTAATAATTGAAAAAGACATGTTGTACAATAGTCACAGGAGTAAAACATGAACACAGTACAACCTGTAAGGTAGTACATTGATACTTATATTGTCAGGGCTTCCAGGGATCTTTCTGTGTGGAGGCTAAAAACAAAAAAAAACTTTATCAGGTTTACATGCTGCTGAAAACAACAGGCCGGAGAGAGAGCAGCATTGTGGAAGAAAAACAAGTGGCCATATTCAACAGCATAGCTTCCTTCCCTGACAACAGACCACCTATGAAGCTGGTAAAATTTTCAGGTCAGTTTAAGTCTAAAGAAAAGCCTTAAGTCATAGGAACAATCTGAGCAGCATAGGTCTACATGGTTTCCATTTTCTTTTCCTTTCAGAAGCTATAAACATTAAGTCACATACTTTGCCTGTTCCTATACACACTGCTGGGCCCCAATCTGGCATATCCCTTCCATCCTCAAATTAAAAAGTCCTGTTTGGTGAGACCCCTTCTTACAGCTGCTTTCCTTCCTGCAGCCTAGATATAACTTCCCTAAACACAGCCATAAACAAAGAATAAACAAGCCTCTCACCTGCCATGGCTGTCCAGATCTCTGGGCATGAAAAGCAGTGAAACTGAAAGCAGTGGTAAAGTGTCTTGCCTTTCCTCCCAGGAAATACACACTGATGCTGCCTGAAAAGGAAGCTTAGATCATCCACATTTGCTTGGTGTTTGCCTGGGCAGAAACACCCTTCTTCTTGTGAGGTAAATTTTCTCTTGGATAACAAAGTTATCAGAATGAAAACAGGAGCATTTGCAAGTTAACACAAATCTCTATATTCTATAATCCGGTTAGTTTTTAGCACTGTTTCTCAAACCAATGAGATCTGTATTTGGCTGGAAGCCACCACTTGCCTTTCATGGCAGGAAGGGCTCACTTCACTGATGCCTGCTCAGTCAGACTTGTGAATTTGGAAAGCTTGAGTAGAGAGAGGCTGACTGAGAACTGTGAAAGGGAAAACTCCTATCACCGTTGGAAAGTCTTGTAAGAAATCTCTTTTCTACAGTTTTCCCTAATATCCTTATTTGTGAATTGTTAGTACTGTTTAAGAGTCTCATACATTTTTTTTAATGTAAAAGGTAATCTTTTACATAAATTTTTGAAAAATTAAAGGTATATGCTTAAATATATATGATAAATGGAGAGTTTATAAAATGGAAAAGAATCATCGACCTTCATTAACGTCACAGTACAAAGTAACCACAATTATGTACATAGCTGAAATCTTGTGAATTTTTTTCTCTTCTTTTATATCACTTAATAAAGTACAGACTTTATTGATACTTCTAATCATTGGCCTCCTAACATCTGTGCCTTTTTCTGGAAGTTGAATTGGACTCATGACTTCATTTTGCCCAAAATGTTGCCTTTGTGTGACTTTGTAGAGTTTTGAGCCCTGCATTATAAATCCTGTGCTCTACCCCTTCCTGGTGATCTGAACATCTATGCAAATAGTTTGGGCTATTTCATTAGAGGAGCAGACCCATCCCATGCATCAGAGGCCAGCTTTCCCAACCACCGTCATCACAAACCAGCCTCCAGACACATACCCTCCAAACATGAGAGATCTCAGCCTTTTGGGTAGACTTGCCTACCCTATATGCAGGAGAGCTCCAGAACCTGAGTGATCCCAGCAGATATGAGATCCACCTGGCTAGCTGGGAACCTGTGGCTCATGCCTGTAATTCTAGCTACTTGGGAGGCTGAGGACAGTAGGATGTCACTTGGAGGACAGCATGGGTAAATAGGTCAGCAGATCCATCTCAACTAACTGAGCATGGTAGCACATGACTGTCTTCCCAGGATATGTGGGAGGCTGAGATCCACAGGATTGTAGTTCTAGATCAGATTGCTCTCCCCCAACAACAACAAAAAAAGCTGAGTATAGTGAGGCCTCCTGTCATCCAAGATATAGAGGTAAGCATGAAGTAGGATTACAGTCTGGGTGGGTCTGGGCAAAAAGCAGACACTGTCTCTAAAATGTAAGTCTGGTGGCATGGCTCAAACTGTAAAGGCATGGCAAACTGAGCAGGCCTAGAAAGCATGATGAAGCCCTGGGTTCAAACCCCAGTACCAGCAAAACAAACAAATAAACAAAAACCCCACCAGGTAAACTGGCTGCCTTGTGAATAATATTAAATAATTATAATGTAAGGTCACTATGTTTTAGGGTTTTTTTTTTTGGTATTTAGCAATAGATAAATGACAAATGTATTCTTGCATAGGTTTTTTTCTTGTATTACTATCATTATACAATCAATTACAAATCACTTAACTTGCCTCTTTTTTTAACTTGTTATATATGGCAAATATTTTGAAAGTCAAGACATTAGGGACTATCCTGATATTTTGATGGCTATATTGTATTACAACTGTTAGATTATAATTTTAAAATGATATATCAAATTATTACATTCAGAAGGCAGTTAAGTCTATAGTATGGAATGCACATGATAAAAATTTTATCCTTCAGTTCACTTTTGCACTACAACCTAGACATAATTTTCCCAATTGTTTTCTAGTTTTTATTTTCTGAAGCAATCTTTAGAATTTTCAGTAAATGTCTATTTTGTCCTCAATATCTCCTGAATATATGGATTTCAAATAATGCCACTGAGTATTCTATATTGAAAAGCAAAATATTGCAAATTTAAACTGCCTCATTTTCTACTGGTATTCCTATTCTTTTAATGATAATTTTGCAACATCAATACATATTTATCCCTCATTTTTTCTTCACCATGTTGTGTGCTTCTCAATTCTCATTTACCTATGTTTATGAGAGTTGTTCCAACAATTTTTCTCCATCTTTCTGACCTTTGATCATACCATCACTTTGGTTTTCGATATTCTATTGTGGTAAACACAAAATTGACCATCTTAACCATTGCATTGACAGTCAGTGGTATTAGGAATGTTCACAAATTTTGCTGTGATTACCACCATCAAATCAGTTAAAATTATTTTTATATTGTAAAACTGAAAGTATAATACTATTAAATAACTCCCTGCTGTAATTTGAATATCGATTGTGGCCCATGAAGCTTGCTGTGCTGGAAGCTTAGTCCCCAGGGTGGTAGTGTTGAGGTGGTAGGATGTTTATGAGGTGGGATCCACTTTAAAGAAATTAGGTTAATAGGGTACCATCCTTGGAAAGTATTAATGTCAATCTCACTCCAGGAATGTGTTCTTATAAAGCAACCACATCGAGTGCTTTGTCCCTTGTGGATGCAGCTGGTTCCCCTTCAGTTTGTCTTCCCTGTTTTGAAACAAGCTAGAGGGCCTTCTCAGGATAGCTCTCGGTCACTTGAGCTACTAGAATCTTGAACTAAGTGAAACTCTTTATTTTATAAATCAACCTGTCTCAGGTATTCAGCTACACCTATAGAAAACATAATACCTAACCAATTTCCTCTTCTCCTAACCCCTGAAATCATTATTCTATATTCTACTACCCATCTCTCTATGAATTTGACTATAGTGAATATCACCTATAGTTGGAGTCATACCCTATATGTCTTTGTATGGCTGATTTATTTCACTCACATAATGAATCCGAGTTTCATCCATACTGTATTGTATTATATGACAAAATTTACTTCCCTTTTAAGAATGAATGTCATATATATAGAAATATATATAATTATATATATATATTCTGAATGGATAGGAAAAAATTATATATATGTAAATAATTGTATATATAAACAATTATATATAATATATATAAAGAATGATATATATGTATATGTATATATATATATATATATATAAAGGATTATAGATATAATTCTTTTCCTACTCATTCAGAAGTTAGATACTAGGTGGCTTCCATGTTTTTGGTGTTGTGACTGATGCCACCACATTCTTAAGTGAACAAGTATCTGTTTGAGACCCTGCTTTGAATTCTTCTGGGTGTACACCTAGAAGTGGAAATTTTGGATAACTTGGTAAATATATTCCAATTTTTTGATGAACTGCTTTTCACGCTGTCTGTACCTTTTTAAACTCCTACCCATGGTGCATAGGTTTCTAATTACACTATAACCTTGCAGACACTTGTTTGGTGCTTTTTGTAGCAGTCCTCCTAATGTGTGGAGAGCATATCTGGTTGTAGTTTTTAGGCAGCATCTCTTGCAGCCTCTTGCTGATGGTGAGTCTTCAGCAATTCTCTTTCCTCAGTGAAGTGCAGGATGGTAAAAGATCCACAAGATCCACATAGCTTGTCCCACTTCATTCCTATTCTCTCACCATGTTACTTAGAGTTTTACTGTCTATTAAAGAAATACAATACATAGTTTACTTGTTTTTAGTTTTACTGACATACAAATGGTTAGTATAGGACCAGAATGTGTCTCTGGTGGTAAAATCTTGCTTAGAAAGAGCAAGGCCTTGAGTTCAATTCACAGTACTTCATAAAAAAATCGATGCTAATAGCCCAAAGGGTTTATACATCTTCTGTATTGACAAAAATATTCTTGAAGTATAAATGGAAAGCTGGGCTTCCTGTGGTTTCTAAAGAAGAGAGGAAGAGTAACAGGTGAAGGTGGTTGCCCATGCAGACCTCATCCCTTCCCTCACCACAGTCTTTTGTTTTCTCTCATGTACTCCCCACTTCCCTTGATTTCCACTAGAATCACAGTACCCTCCACAGGAAATGGTACTGGAAATGAACTTGGGAAAACCTAAGTTCAATTATATCACTTTGTTAAAGAGCACTTGAAGAGTTTTCTTTCTCACTCATGATAAAACCTTTCAAATATTTGCTTTGTGAATACAAACACAAAGAAATTGCTATGTGGAATGTTGTAAAGCAAGAATAAAAGAAGAAGTGGGTAAATATTAGCAGTGCCTAAACAAGTGTTAAAATAAAACACAATTTAAATTTTGTTTCTAATTGGGAACTTACTAATATACTTATGGCATCACATAAAGCCGTTATGAGTAAATAAAGTAATCATTAGGTCTAAATTTCATCCACCCATTCTAAAATGTTTCAATCGAAAAATTTTGTGAGGTTTAAACCTCAAGTGTGAAAGGTTCTGTTGTAGTTGTTTAAGGTCTAAACACGGACCCTCAATGATTTTGTTATCTGTGCTTGGAATAGTGTGAGAACCAGATTGCCAACAGAACATAAACTTTACAGTCCAGAAATATTAATAATGGAATCCGTATTATTTTTACTTACTAATTGCTGCTTGAGTTTCCGTGGTTCATCCTTAGCTTGTTTTTATTTATCTCCTTGATGATTGATTAGCTGATTAAATGGAAAAGAAAGGACTCAAAATGCATGCAAGTAGAATTTAAAAACTAGAAAATAGTCAAACTACATCCACAACAAACACTAGTATGTTTACCAAGCAATCAGGTGCCATTGGTCGTGGGACATCACAACTTACAGAGCATTTATTTCATCTGTTAACTAACAACTTGTGATACTTAATATTTTCAATTGCCAGGAATCAGGGTAGAAATCTCTTGACAGGTTGATCGTTCATAGTGGGCATCTGGGCATACAGTACTTGGGTTTTCAAATGACCGTTTTAGCTAAAACCAAAAGCAGCCTCCAGCTTAGATTAAGCTTATTCACTCTGAGAAAATATT